GTGTGTGTGTGTGTGTGTGTGTGTGTGTGTGTGTGTGTGTGTGTGTGTGTCGACCAGGTCCTGACAAAACCAGTCCACACCTTGACAACCGAAATTTCACTCCGCCGTCAAAAAAAAAAGGTCAGTAGCCTTCCATCTCACAAAACCTGGAGGACTACCACTGCCAGAGGCAGCAAACACCAATTCCTTGAAACTCAGCAAAACTGGTGGCTAGACCAAGCCACCAATACACATCTACCGCAGCTGCTCATTGAGGCGCATGGTTAAAAACCCGTTTGCCTCCACCTCTCCCGCTTAGTCGCTGAGATGGTCACTTAGCGCATGCTTCCCTCTTGCAGAATTTCCACCATGTTATAGAGCTTCTTCTCTGCACCCTCTTGAATCTGTGGGCTCAAACGTCCACACACACACACACGCACGCACACACACACACACACACACACACACACACACACACACAATCAGTTTTATGTATGTTTGTCTTTCTCTTGTTGTGTCCTTCGTCCTATTTTTGCTAGTTACTTTCCGTGTGGTTGAGTGAGCATCTTTAGGAAGTGCTAAACAGTCGGTGTTGGGGTGACACTGTTTGGAGTGCCTGTAACTCCATTATGGGGGGCACTCTGTTCATGATGACTGTGTGGTGCACATGGGTAATGGGTAATGACAGACGTCCCACAGTGGGAACCAACAGTCTGCGGGGCTTACTCATAACGTGAGTAGGTGATGTGCCGCTTTGCTCCGTGTTGGATGTGTAGAGTGCCTTGTCTGCGCTCCGCCGCTGCCTTCTGTCTGTCCCGCTTGCTTCGCACATCATTTTTGCAGCTTGCTGTGTCGACTCCGTGGTCCGGCTGCCTTGTTGGTGTTGCCTTGTGTTTCACTGCACTGTTGCCTTCGCCTATCCGCATGCCGTGTCTTCCTTGTTCTTTGCCTGTGTGCAGTGGAATTTGGCTGCTGTGTTGGTGTTGTCTTGCGCTTCGCTGCGCTCTTGCCGCCCTGCTCGTCCCCTTGCCGTGCCATCCCTGCAGTTACTCTTTTGGCGTTGTGCAGTCCGGTTGCTCGGGCAGCGTTCGCTGCTGCTTCGCTGAGTTCTTGCCTGCTGTTGTGTTCCTATTGTGGACAGTGTGCCGTCGACAAGGGTCAAAAGGGTTCATGACGCGAACCATGACAGGAATACTGCAGATTGTTGAGGGTTCAGCCTCAACAAAGTGCTGGCAGGTGCGGCTTACGCAGGGCGGCGTGCAGGGGGCACTGGGCAGCGATAGGGGCATAGAGCAGGTGGAGGAGGACGGGTGAGAAAGAAGGGGAAAGCATGGGAGGCAGGAGGGAGAGAAGGTGGAAACGTGGAGGGCAGGAGGGAGAGGGAGAGGAGAACCATCAGGAAGATGGGGTTATCCGTGGAATTTGGCTGCTGTGGTGTACA